AGTAAAATTCGGCTTGTCAGAATCGGGACCTTTTTTGCAGTCGCTCTGCCAGCACTTGGGATAGCTCCACTCGAACGATAGACCGTCGAAATTGTGCTTCTTCAGGAAGTTCATCGTAGCAATGACGAATTTACGACGAGAGACGCCGCTGCTGATCAATCGAGAATATTTATCTCCAGAACTGTCGGTCCATCCGCCTAAGGCCAGTAATATTCTTGATCCTTTGATCGAGGTCACTCGCTGGTATAGATCTGGAATGAATTATTCGAGGAATCATATCATTCGATTATATCTTTTAAATGAAAGATTTGAAACAAGAGCGATATAATTCCATGTCTCACAAGATTCGCTTTAAATATGAAATACGCTATATTTAAAAAAATGGATCCTTTCAGATTACAGATTTATAATTCAGTTTTATTCTGAATCTTTCAAATGTCTCGGCAATTGAGATCACATGTGAATTATCATGCTCACTATTTTCAATGTCGGCCCAAGGATCGAACGGCTGAATCAACAGCGTCTCAGGATTCAATCCAGCAAATGCGTAAATAATATCAGTACAGAGATTCGAATCCAAATGTTCTGGAACGAATTTACCATCCCCTTTGCGATACAATGCCCAGGAAGTCATATAACACGCTATTCGCGGACCGACTTGCTGCAACACCTTTTTTGACGATGTTGTTGATGGTGTATCCTGACCAACAATTTTATCGAAAACATTGAGTTTGCAGATCTCTGAAGATCGCGCTAGGATGGCTGCCACACAGCGTTTCTCTCTCGGATCAAAGTATCGGCTGTGCCCGCAATGACCATGATGTAGTTTTCCTAAAAATAGCTCTGTGGTCACTGAATGTATAAATTTGACTTTTGCGATTTATGATTAATTTAATTAAGCTGTAAACGTTACCTTTGATACAAGAATAAAATGCGGAACAATTTTCCGGATCCCTAGAAAGACCATCCTTCGGACACTTCTTTGTCGGGGTATCCTCGTAATATCCTAAAGATCGTACTGCAGCGTTTAGCATCGGCCAAGGATTTCCGCAGATACCCTATGGGATTTAAATTCATATGCACGCGTTAAATACGATAATATGCCGTGAATGATTGACGCTAAATGCTATTTAAATTGCTGACAACGCTTAAATTAAAATCATTCTTTTATAAATCTGTTAATTTTGATGCACTTATATCCTTATGGCGCTAAAAATAAAAATTTCAATGAGACAAAAAATAAGTTAATATTATTAATAACCTGAAAATCATCTAGATCTAGCGACCATAATGAGATTCCACCGAGTCCCATTGCTCGAATAAACGCCGTTTTAATTTTAACTGATATAGGGTCGTCGTAACTAATCCATTGATCCCCTCGCTTTATGTATGGGCCTTCCTCGTTCCTGCCAGAGATCCACAAACCTCTTTCCAATTTCTCACACACCTACAGAGAACAATTGGCTTTGGTTAATATAAACACCTTTTTTTACATTGAGAAAAATATCTGATTGAAAATAAATCAGAATCAGCTGAAAATTCTGATCATATAACAATCAGAAGTTTAATTCCTCCTCCTCTCTCTCTCAACTAAAATTATAATAGGTTCAACGAAAAAAATTTTGATTTATTTATTTTTAACCAGAATTTCAATTAACGCAACTAAGCTCTTTTTTTTAGTATTGACATGATACTTCACCTCATAATAAGCTAATTTTCCGTCTCTCAGTTTAGTGTAAACACCCTTTTTGCCGGATTTCTGAACAAGCGTGCTGACATCGGTGAGATTGCTAAATTTGAGAGTATATCTTTGACCAAAGATTGGGATAGCGAGAACAAACTTCGATCGTTGTCCGGCGCTAACTTGCTCAACCCATTTGCTTGTATTCTGAACAATGAAGCTCAAGGGACCTGGATGAAGAACGGGATATTCCGTTTTTCCGCAAGAAGCACAAGCCGATTGAACGTCCCGCCAACTTTTTAGGATTATCAAATCGACGATCGGTAAAAGTTCCAGATCCACGGGATCTTCCGGTGTCAGTGCCACCGCGAGGGTATATCCTCTTTTGGCTAATGGAACACCGATTAACTTGAGCAGAATTTTGAATTGAGACCAATCCTGGGCGGCGGTTGGCCAATCGAGCTCGATACCATCGAAACGATATTCTTCGAGGAATTTGAGAATAGATTCCCGCAATGGAAAATCGGTCGATAAATTGGCATTTCTTTGGATAATTAGGCTACGATGTGGATTCGGTTGGATGGATATCAGCACGCGAAGTGCTGGATCTTTTAAGCGAAGCCCTGTGGCAGCATTGTAACCGCCTAATAGAAAAATTGAAGAATTGAAATTGAATTAATATTATTTGTTAATATTATAATTCAATATTTCCAAAATATTTGTTAAATATTTTTAAACATATTTTTATTTTGATAAAATGATAACCTACCTTTAATTCGGTCGTATACTGGATCGTTGGGAACGATGGAATCTTGTCTGTCTACAATGAAATAATAAAATTAATAATTAAGATAATAAAAGTACTCGCAAAATAACATATGCTTATACATCTATAATCTAGATCTAATACAATTATTATTTACCGATGATAGCTGTGGAATATACTAGGTGAGTGCATTTGTAATCTGGCACATTTTGCGGGTATAAGGAGAACGGTTCCGTCCTATGACCGGCTTCAGAGTTGAAGCGACAGATAATTTTAGGTTCGAGAATCTGCTGCGTTCTTCGCAAGGTCGGTGGTGCCACGGGCTCGATCCAAATCGATTCGTGATCTGGATCAACACCGAGAAAAGGTGCTTCACGATGCTCCACTGCATCTCTCAAAGGCAATCTTCGGTTCTCACTATAAATATGAGCAATTCTGTTATACTTGTATCATATATTATTATATGTCCTAAATAATATTATAGCATATATTGTTAAATCTATTACATATCAAATCAAGATACGCACTAAAAGAACAATCAAGCAATATCTGCATTAAATAAAAATAAAGCAAAATTGTAAAGAGTTATGAAATTTTAATCTTCAATAGTTTTAAATTTTTCAATCCTTAGATGTGTACAGTGTGTTTTAATAACAATCTATAAAAACAAAAATAAATTAAGAAAATGATTTAAACAAATATAAAGTAAATATTTAAAAAATAATTGTAAAATTTATTTAAAATTATTTGGAAATAAGAAATAATGTCGTCTTATCTTCAATCAAAGGTATTGCGGAAGAAATATTGATACAAAAAAAAAAGAAAAGGAATATCCCACAGATTTTCAACTTACGTATATAAGGGTTAAGATTTGCCATGTAATAGTGATTCTTTAGAAAACGAGTATCAGAAAGGTTTTAGCCGATTAAGATAAAACATATTCTTCGGATAGTCACCTCTCAAAGTCGTCTCGGAATGTAGGATTCGATTTAGCGTCTAATACGTTGTCCGGCAACGATTCGACTGCGTCGCGCAGGGGATACCTGTGCGAGCCGAATTCATTGTAATCTAAATCATTTGACAAGCGGCCGAAGGTCGGCAAGCTTTCGATGGCGTCTCTCCGGAAGAAGGGAAGAAATTCGCGTTGTTGCTGATGTTCCGACAGCGGCGGAGGAGGTAAGATCTCTCGGACTGGTACTCGATTCGAGGGAACGGCCGACGATAAACTCGTCAGCCAAGCCAAGATAATCCAAACCGTCATAATTAACTATATATAGTTTGCTGAAATGGAAAATTGTATTAATATTTTATATACACAGATTCAA